ATTCCCATGCCAGACCATCACATCTAAGATATTCCTACCCTGTCCTTTGAGAGTCTGTCCCCCAAGTTATAGGGTCAGCTCCAATGATGCAGTTTGGGATTATGGCAGCCTCCCTAGGGTGGCTGTCTCCGTTTATGGAACTCGGCCACACACAGTGGCTGGGCCTAGGAATTTACCCATGTCTTATTTTTATGTTTAGGGAGGGATGAAAATCCTAACAATGATGTGTGTGGGTCTCATAGATGGTCCAGATCCTTTTGTAAAAACTTTAGTAATGATTGATATAGATGAAAAATGAACTAATCACTAGAAGAAGATGAAGAAGAGGAGGAGGCAGAGGACAGGGCAGGGGGAAGGAGGGAGAGGGAAAAGCAAGAGAGAAGGAAAGGAAGCCAGCATTAAAATAGCCATGTTTTGGAAAGTAGAAGTTTAAAGCCATAAGGATCTTCTTGTCCCAGGAGCCTGGATCCTAGCACCGAAAGGCCAGTGCGGTTTCATAGCTCCAGGTCTGGTCCTTCTGCTCGGCTCACCGTGAGGAAGCAGCCTGGTCGGACTCTCTTGCCCCTCACCCTTTTCCTTGTCTTTCCATGCATCAGACTCTGCTTACAGGAAGATGCACAGGAGATGGGCTCCCCTCCCCCCAAGAAACACAACGTATCGAAAAGGAGGCAGACCTAGAATCCTGTCATGCAGGTACTGACCAGAGCTGTGAGAGCCCTAGGACCATGACTAGCTCTCCCAGAGGAGAGAGGAGAAATCACTGCCCAGGGAGGAGGTGATATTTGTGCTGGGCTTTGAGAAATAAATAGGAGTTTCGCCAGAATGTGAGTAGGAGGAAGGGAATTCCAGGCAGAGGGAACAGCCTGGGCAAAGGACAGAGGTGTGAGACCGCAGCGCTTTTGAAGAGCAAGTTCACTGCATTTGGAAATGGGAACAAAGACTGGAAAAAGATTTGCCAGCAGACAGTCGGGGAACAACCATCGAGGATTTTTCCACATGCAAGGGAGACCACCAGGGCTGTGTCCATCTCAATCTACCATTTCTTACAAAATCTTGTGCTGCTTCTTGCTTGGAACTCACCAGACCAGCCACTGGGTCTAGGTTTCTACCCCGAGGGAAGTGCCTGGGATCCCCCTCCTTGGTAGAACTGACATTTGTGAGCATCAGTGAATGCTTGCATGCCTTCCAGGTACAAGGAATCCCTCTGCCCATTTTCCAGAATTTTCTGGGAGGATCATTTAAGAACCCACCCAGGAGACAGGCGATGTTTCCCAGCGGGACAGGGCTTTGCTCTTCTTTTAAAAATAGTTCTTCAAATTTCTGTATAGGCCTCTGTTTCCTTACTCACGATGCCAAAATCCAAATAGCCCTGAAAAACAAAAGTTGTTGTTACTTTCTCCTGGAACTCATTTGGTGGCAAAATGACCTGAACAGATGTGAGGCTATTTATAGTCTTTATTGATTCACTTGGTGTGAATATTCATATGCTGCTGCAGAAATACTAATGTGTTTGATTATGGGGTGCCACCCCAGACCCCGCTGGGGGTGTTATGTAATTATGTGGCATATGTACCATATTACCTTTCTAAAATAGAGTTAGGAATAAGAGCCGGAATTCCAAAACCATCTGGCCTCAGGGCTTTTAGGTAAGGAAATGTGGGCCTGTGCTACTTTGGTAAAGATGCCATTTGGATCACAGTGGACCCTCAACAGTGTGGGCTAACCCTACTCCATCTCTCTGGCGTCTCATTCTCCATGCTTCACTGGGGCGGTTTTAACCTGCTTCCACATGTCTGCACGCTCTGACCTCACCCCTAACAGATGATTTGGCCTCCTGCTTTAGAGGGTGAACAAGAGCCACCCAGACCCAAACTCCTTCACAGACACAAAATATCAAAACCCGCCTGCACCTGCCCCATCCCGTTCTCTTGTCCTGGTCCCCCAGTGAGCAGCTCCAGCGTCTCCTATGGAAGACAGCTCCCTGGCCCTCTAGACCCTCTGCCCTCCATCCGCTTTTACCTGTTATCAAGTCACTGCATTAAAGACAAAAACTGAGGGGCACCTGGGAGGCTCAGTTGGCTAAGCATCTGCCTTCGGCTCAGGTCATGATAGCGGAGTCCTGGGATGGAGCCCCGCATCAGGCTCCCTGCTCTGCGGGAAGCCTGCTTCTCCCTCTCCCTCTATGTGCACTCTCTCATTCTCTCTCTCAAATAAACAAATAAATCTTTTTTAAAAATAAAGACAAAGACAAGATAACGAAAGCGACACCTCATTGATTTCATGGTCTTCCCTGGACCTGCCACCCTCTCCTCCCATTCCAAGGTGAGCTTCTCCAAGGAGTTGATTATCCACTTCTTTACCTTCATTTCTTCCCTTCTGTTTCTCAGCTTTCCTGGCTCCTACCTGACTCTGGCCCCATCGCCTCCACAGCAGCTCCGACCCAGCCCACCCAGGACCTGCTCACCTTAGCCCCTTCTCCTGGTAGCAGCATGGCCCCCCTCCTCCCCATCCGGATCCAACTCCCTCCTGCTCCCCTCCACCCCACCCCACCCCACATGGTCTGGGCTCTCGCACCTCCTCTCCCTCCCTTGTGAGGCTCTTTGCTGCACTGAATTTGGAGATGTTGCCTGGGCCTCTGGCTCGCCTCTTCTCACGACTCCACACTTAGGGCTTCAGTTCTTTCCGGCACACCTGCTCCTCCGGAGTTACATCTCCGGCTCAGCCTCTTCTCTGTACTCCAGACCCATTTGTCTGCCTGCCCACTTGACATCTCCTCTTAGATGCTGTAAAAGCACCTGAAACTCAACACTTCCACAGCCAATGCCTTGATCTGCCCCGTTCCAACCCTATGAAGACCTGCCCGTTTTCCTCGGACCCCATCAACACCCTGCCGCGTACACCAGCTAGAAGCATAACTGCCCCCTTGGCATCTGACTCCCCAGCATTCCCCCCCGTCTCCAGTCCGAGGCTAGGGTCGGCTAGGTTGCTTCCCTCCTCCTCCGCTTCCCTTAGCGGTTTCCTGGATTAAGTGCTTTCTTAGGATCCCTACAGGACCTTTGATCTGACTCCTCCACCTCCCAGCCTCGCCTGGACCTCTCCTGCCTTGTCCTGGCTGCTTCAAGCTATCTGGGTCCTTCCCTTAACTTCCACCTGCCCTCTGTCCTGCCTCGCCTCAGGGCCTCTGCACATGTTCCCTCTGCCGGAATGCTCTTCCCTCCTTTCTTAGCCTTGCTTTCGGGTCTCTCAGATGTCAGTTCAAGGATCCCTTCCCTGGGCTCCTGGCTGGCTCAAGTCCCCCTGTTACAGGCTCTCCGAGCATGGGGTACCTGGCCTGCATGCACAGCCCCTGTCCAGGCCACAGCTTTCAACTCAGCACCTCTTTGTGGGGTCATTTGACAGTGGCCTTGTCTTCAGTTAGAATGTCAACTCCACGGGAGCTGGGACCTTGCCTGCTCTCGCTCTCTGTGGCTCCCCATCAGCTGGCGCCTGGCCTGGCTCACAGCAGGTGACCACATTTGATGGATGAGCGGCTGCATGTCACAGTCACAGGGAGGCCACAGCATGTTACCACCGAGGGTGCAGAGAGCTGGAGGGCATGAGGAGGGTGTCACCTTCTTGGGGGTGTCGGGGGCTGTTAGCTCCTTAATGTCTGGATTCTGGCCTTTCTTGGCAGACCAAAGATGACTTTATATTGTGCAAGGTGTAGGGGACCTTAATCTCCCCTAGAGCCCACTTGCCGGCCAAGGCTCCATTTGCATACTGACCCTGCAGGCCCTGCTACCATTGTGCTCCTCTCCCGCCTCAGCCTGAAGTGCCTCTAGTCTTGCCAACACCTTCTTGGCTAGAGCAGTGACTGCAGGTGCCCACATATGCCCAGGGAGCTGCCGAGGCAGCGGGCCGGTGGGCCTCTGTCCCGGGCGAGCGCTGGGTTGGTGCACACACGGGGGGACTGAGCCACAGGCCCGCAGCAACGGTGGCAGGGCGGGACCAGGTGGGCTTGTGCCTGCAGGGACAGCAAACTCTGTAGCGCCTCCTTGTCTCCTGGTCTGTCACTTGGGTCAGCCTCCACAGCGGAGGTGGGGGGCAGGGGGGACAGTCTGAGTAGAAGCGCCAGGAGATGCTGCTAGGGGGCACCATGGGCCCCCTCAGACCACCTGTGCTTGAGTGATTCCTCTGCCCCAACAACCAGCTCCATCGCTCTGAGCAAGGAATTTCTACCTTGCGGGTCTCAGTTCACTCAAAATGTGAGTAATAACTCCTGCCCCTCACCAAGAAAACCCGTCCCCGCTAGGTCAGAGGCACTTCGGCAGGGTTCCTTGGCTACTTGCGTGCCAGCCGTTACCGGTGGCTGCCACATTCGATCCTCACCATCGCCGTGGGGTGGACACTGTTGTTATTCCCATTTTTCAGATGAGAAAACTGAGGCCCTTCTGTGATCTGGAGCACGTACATGTGTATGAATGAACGTTGGTCCTTTTTTTTTTTTTCTAGGGAAAGAGTGATCAGGTGGGCAGGAGGGTGGTGTCTGTTCTCAGGGCTTCGAGTGCAGAAGGTATCGGTGAAATACTGGTGTTCTTAGTTCTCTGATACTGTTGTGCAGGCTGTACACTGCACAACTCTAGGAGGGACCATTCAAGTGAATGGCACTCCCTGGAGTTGTGTGTGCAGCACGCATTGTACCTGATAGCCCTGAAGATATTCCTCAGTAGGATAGCTCCACGGTAAGCAAAGGTGGCAGTTAAAGTCGGCCGAGAAGTACTGAGTAAGCACATAGTGTTTCTTTTGATCTTACCTAAACCTCACAAGCATCCTCTGAAGCCGATGCTCCTGTTTGTCTGTGGCCTGTGTGTGGGGAAACTGCCTCTCAGAGGGGTTGGGGGCCCCCCTGTTCATGCAGCCCTGTCTCCCACTCCGCCGTGTGGCCTCTGAGCTGGGGGTGCTGAGGAAAGGAGTGTGGCGGGAAACCATCATTGTGTGTCTCTGGTCCCCCGCGCCCACAGCTGGACAAGATGCTGGACCCCCAGGTGTGGCGGGAGGCGGCCACCCAGGTCTTCTTTGCCCTGGGGCTGGGCTTCGGGGGCGTCATCGCCTTCTCCAGCTACAACAAGCAAGACAACAACTGCCACTTTGATGCTGCGCTGGTGTCCTTCATTAACTTCTTCACCTCGGTGCTGGCCACCCTCGTGGTGTTTGCTGTGCTGGGCTTCAAGGCCAACATCATGAACGAGAAGTGTGTGGTCGAGTAGGTGGCATGTCCTCTCCTGTCCTTTCTCCTGTCCACCAGTCCTAGGCGCGGCGGGAGGGCCACGGAGCCAGAGTCCCCGTCTCCCCTCCCTGGGCTGACGGTGGAGGTCAGAGGAGCTCTCTGTGTCCCCAGCCGCGTGTCCCAGGCTCGGGTTCAGAGCCGTCTCCATCATGGCCCGTGGGGGCGGGGAGGGTCCTGCCTGGGTGTCTGGCAGGTGCCTCCGGGTACTGTGCCCACCCCTGCCTTTTTACCTGGACCCCTCCACTTTGCGCTGCAGGAATGCTGAGAAAATCCTGGGGTACCTCCACACCAACGTCCTGAGCCGGGACCTCATCCCTCCCCACGTCAACTTCTCGCACCTGACTGCCAAGGACTACACGGACATGTACAGAGTCATCAAGGCCGTGAAGGAGGACCGTTTCTCAGCCCTGGGCCTTGACCCCTGCCTTCTGGAGGACGAGCTGGACAAGGTGTGGGACAGGCTGCCCTTCCCCGGGCTGGGCAGCAAGGCAGACGTGGGAGTGTGGCCCCAGAGCCAGGCCGTGGACGGCTGGGGCCTGCACACTGGCCTCAGAAGGCCGCCAGGGACTCACTGGCTGGCTCAGGAGCAAGGACCTACTATGTGTCCGGGGAGGGACTGAGGAAAGGTATCGGCCAAAGCCCGGCCCTCGACGGGGATGGGGCAGACACGCATCACAGAAATCACAGGAGTTGCACAGAGTGACTTGCAGAGTCATTGAATGGGATTCCTGTGTGTGGCTCACAGAAAATGAGCATTTGTGGTAAAGTCTGTCCCCTGCTGTCGATCCCCTTAGGCCCCGGGGACAGTGCTTTGAAGCAGTGTTAGTATCGTCCCGTTTTACAGCTGTGCAGCCTAGGAGTTGGGAGTGTTCTCACGGTCTCACGGCTGTGAGGGGAGCCAGGGTTCAAATGTCCAAGCTCCGGGGCAGCCCTTGATGCTTTTCTTCCTCCCTGGCCCCCCGCTGTCCCCACAGCAGCTCCCACTGCCACAGTGACCCTTAGCCCCTGGGGTAGAGCCGCAGCATGGCACTTCCTCATTAGTGCTCAGGCCCAACTTTGGACACCTTGCTTCTATTCCCATCTGCACAGCTGGACATTTTCAAATTAGAGGTGACAGGAGAGAGGACCATGGGGTCTTGGGACCCAACTAGTGCCAAGGCTTCTGGACAGAGGCAGTTCCTTTCAGCCCAGGCCAACCCTGCCCTTCTTCATGAAGCTAGGGAAGGTGACGCTTCCCCTGTCCTGATGCCGGGGCTCCACATTCAGTCAGCGGCGTACTACTGGTCCCACCCCAATGCCGACGGAGCCGTGTCTTGTCCCCTTTGCCCTTCCCATGTGATCAAGAGCAAAGGCTCCAGGCTGGGGACCCCTGCCCTGTTTCTGCCCCAGGTGACCAGCAGTATAAAGGACTCCTCCTTCCATGAGACCCTGCCCCATTCTCATGGGCATGGTCTAGTCCTCTAAATATAACTAGGACTATGACAGGTTTTTTTTTCTTATACAGTAGGACCTCGATAACGTCCAAACGGCAAGAACTACACACTCACACAGTGGGGAGGTGCTCCTTCAGAGTCACTGGTCCTTACAGGAAACGTAAAAGTGTGTGGTCACTTGCCCCAGGAGCAGGGGCCCAAGCATTAATGCAGTGGCTCTCTCCCTCGACTGCCCATCAGAGTCACCTGGGGACTTAATAAAACCCAGCTACCCAGCTCTACCCCCAAACCAAGCAAATCCGTCTCCAGGGTGAGACCCAGACATTGGTGTTTTAAAGGCTGCAGTATGGTTCCATCAGGCAGCCGAGGCTGAGCCCATTACATTCAAGTCTGGAGTTCAGGGCTGGGAGCTCCCACAGTGGTGGCTGGAGCAATCAGGGAAGACTGCCTAGAGGAGCAAGGTCTCAAGCTGGGTGTATTTCTAAATGTGAGCATCTTCATCTGAATCACCTGGGGTCCCTGTACCACGTGTAGCTTCCAGTTCCCGCAGGTGAACTTCAAATTGCTGTCTTCCTCCTTGGGGTAGGGGGGATTCCGATGCTCACTCAAGTCTGAGACCCACTGACTGGCCAAAGGCAGGAGGATTTAGGTGAGGGCACCGGTTCCTGTGAAAGAGGGAAGAGCTGTTCTCAGAGCTCCAGGGCCAGAGATGAGGGGGCAGGGGGCTCCTGGGAGCCATGTGGGCGTCACTGAGTGCTTGTCTTCCACCCCACCCCCCCACCCCAGTCCGTGCAGGGCACAGGGCTGGCTTTCATCGCCTTCACCGAGGCCATGACGCACTTCCCTGCATCCCCCTTCTGGTCTGTCATGTTCTTCCTCATGCTCATCAACCTGGGTCTGGGCAGCATGATTGGGACCATGGCTGGCATCACCACACCCATCATCGACACCTTCAAGGTGCCCAAGGAGATGTTCACAGGTAAGGCCTCCTGGCCGCCCCCGCTCCCCCGCTGGCCTTGCGGGCTGCCCTCGGGGACCACAGTCAGGACGTGCCTCTGACCTGAGACTCCACACTGACAAGGCCCCTGCTGCCCGCACTGGGATGCAGTCGGAGCCCGGCTCACCCCCCAGAGAAGAGCACTCGAGAGCCGGGAGAAGGCTGTCTGGGAATCTGTGCTAAACCTGAGCTGGGGGCAGCCTGTCTCAGGTCATTTGCCAAATCCTCTTGGGCAGGGGTGCCCTCCCTCTGTGCTGGCCTGTGCCCTGCTCCATCTCTGTCACTCTGGCCCTGGGCTGCTCCCGTCCTAGAAGAGTGGGAGCTCAGAACCCCAGTGTCTGGATCCCACTCCCTTGAAGGCCTTCGGGGAGGAGGGGTGGGAAGGGAGGGGCCTGGGTGCCCCCCGAAACCCTCGGGCCCTGCCCACCCTACACCTTTGCCCCCACACCGGCCTCCCGGCTCTCTGTAGTGGGCTGCTGTGTCTTTGCATTCTTCGTGGGGCTGTTGTTCGTCCAGCGCTCCGGGAACTACTTTGTCACCATGTTTGATGACTACTCGGCCACCCTGCCGCTCACCGTCATCGTCATCCTTGAGAACATTGCCGTGGCCTGGATCTATGGAACTAAGAAGTAAGGGGGACAAGGGGGAAGGGGTGGGGAGAGGAGGAGGCGTGTGCCCTCTCAGGACCCCCTGGGGAGTGCTGGGTTTCCAGGGCCACTTCTGAGTGGAACAGGAGACCACAGGGTCAGAATGTCACAGCTGAAAATGCCCTTAGAGATCATTTGGGGAAACTGAGACTCAGAGAGAGGGCGTGACTACCCAAGGCCCCTTGGCTGGTGAGAGGCAGAGCTAGGCTGAGCACACCAGTGTCCTGGGTGCAGGTCCTGGCATTACCCTAAACTGCCTTAAGTTACCATAGCCCCTTACCTGAGAACCAACTCTTCAGAGTTCTTTTAAGTTTGTTAAACACTTACTGGGGACACAGGAGGCCCCTGCCCTCAGAGGGCTCTTGAACTTCGGCAGCCGAGAGAGTTTTCTGGTGATCTAAGTAGGGGTGTGCACCGAGCTGTGGTTTGGGGCTGAAGTGTGGGGTCAGGTGGAGTAAGGGAAGTCAGCCGTGAGGAAGGATTGGGTGTCTTGGCCTGAGCCTAGGGCAGAGCCACACTCGCTGTCTGCCCCGGGCCTCGTTCTTCATTTAGTAAGTCTGTGTGCCTGGGAAGCCCCAGGGCCCGGCCCCTCCTACTCTCTGCAAGGCCAGGGCTCCCCTGATGTCTGCACCGGGTCTTAGAATCAGGCTCTCTCACGGTCCTGCTACGGCCATCATCTTCCTCCAAGAACGTCGGCGGGGATGCGGTGGTAAGACAGGAGCAGCCCTGTGAGCCCGGGGTGGAAGATGCTGTGAGACGAGGGCCTCTGACTCTTCCGCAGTCTCGTGAAGCCCCTGTATGCCTTCTCAGAATGTTGTTTTTAAGTGGATAAGAGAAAAATATATAGGATCCTATAGGAAATGAATTAAGTTGAAAAATAACAAAAATACAGTTTGAAATCTGAAATGGTAATGTATGTGTAGTTTATTTTTAGTGCATTAAGTCAGAAGATCTAGCTAGGGTAATCATAATGGTAATTGTGAAATAGTGATTAGTGATAAATGTAAATGATGTTTGTAGGTAGCTTCAAGTGTAACCTGACAGGAAGATACTGTCATTTAACCAACTGGTGACAGTCTCAGGTCCCACTAATAACGCTGTGGTTGTTTGCATGTACAAAAGAAAGAAATGCAAGATTTCAGTTAGGTGTTATTCAAGTAGAGATGATTTTTTTTTAGTGACATTCACATACAGCCTACAGTTACCATCATCCCACCCCCAGACCCCCAGGTTAGAAACCCCCAAGTCGGGGCCTCTGGACGCTGGGGAAGTGCACTGCACCTCGTTTCCAGCAGGGGGCAGTCTAGAGCCAGGCCAGCGGGAGTGGGGCTGGGCGCGGGGTGGCTGCAGGGTTCCCCCAGTGCCTGCCCACCTGCTGGGCACGTCCTGGGAGGCCAACATATCCCTGGGTGGGGTGTGACCTGAAGTATTCAGAGGCTAGCAGGCGCCACCAGAGCCTGCCCAGACGCCAACCGGGGCTACCCAATAATAAACTGGGAGCCCTGAATGTGAGGAATGGAAGAGGCTGGGAGGGAGGGACTGGTCCCTGAGGGCTTCCTGGAGGAGGCAGTTGTGGGGGAATGCGCGAGCTCCGCAGGGATGCCAATTCCGGGCCCTCTGTGCCCCTGGCAGGTTCATGCAGGAGCTGACGGAGATGCTGGGCTTCCGGCCCTATCGCTTCTATTTCTACATGTGGAAGTTCGTGTCTCCACTGTGTATGGCTGTGCTCACCACGGCCAGCATCATCCAGCTGGGGGTCACACCCCCGGGGTACAGCGCCTGGATCAAGGAGGAGGTGAGGGGGCACCTGAAACCCCAGGGTTGCTTCCACCCAACAGGCAATAGACGTAAACCCTTATAGGGTAGCTGCCGTGTGCCGGCCCCGCCAGGGTGTCCCCGGCCATGCCAGGGCCACCGTCTTTACCACGGCCCATAGCACAGAGAGGTGGCTTTATCCCCATAGTACACGTGGGGAGACCGAGGCTCAGAGAGGTCGACACTCTGGTCCAGTCTTTCTAACCCATGCTCTGTCTCCACGTCTGTGGGCTGAATCACCCATCCACTTTACAGCTGTAGAAACTGAGGCCCCGGGGAGCTCAGGCCTTCCCCGAAGGCGACCGGCTAACGCAGGTAGCCACCCGAGGGCCTCGGACACGGTCAGCTGGTGCCCAGCCCGGACGGCAGGTGGGGGTGGTGGCGGGAAGAGCAGGCCCGGCGGTCCCGGGAGGGTGAGCGGTCGGACAGCGGCGGCAGCCCTCACCCCGTGCCCCACTAGGCTGCCGAGCGCTACCTGTACTTCCCCACCTGGGCCATGGCCCTGCTCATCACCCTCATCGTCGTGGCCGCCCTGCCCATCCCCGTGGTGTTCCTTCTGCGACACTGCCACCTGCTCTCCGACGGCTCCAACACCCTGTCCGTGTCCTACAAGAAGGGCCGCATGATGAAGGACATCTCCAACCTGGAGGAGAACGACGAGACCCGCTTCATCCTCAGCAAGGTGCCCAGTGAGGCGCCCTCCCCCATGCCCACCCACCGCTCCTACCTGGGGCCCGGCAGCACGTCCCCCCTGGAGACCGGCGGCAACCCCAACGGACGCTATGGGAGCAGCTACCTCCTGGCGGGGACCCCGGAGTCGGAGCTGTGACAGCCTGCCCCCGCCCCGCCCGCCCTGGACCCGCCCTCGCCCCGCCCCTTCTGCCCAGGGGTTGGGGGCTGCCCTCCTCACCCACCCTGCTCCCAGCCCGCTTCCCCTACACCTGAGCAGGGCCTCGGAGACACCGCCCCCAGCCCAGGCTCCCACCCTGTCTAACCTCCGGATCCTCTCACCGAGTTGCAGGCCACTAACGGGAAGAGCCCTGATTCCCAGCACTGGGAGACAGCGAGTGGCCACTGTAGGGGCGCCCCCCACCCTCTCTCCCTGTAACCTGGCACCTGTGGTTCCGAGGCCCTGGGCAACCTCTGTGCTGCCCAGTGGTGGTGAGAGGCACTGGGTGGGGCAGGGTGCGGTGTGGGGCGTCCCAGAGGGCGCTGATTTAAGGTTGGGGACGGGATCATTGTGCAGGGACGCAGGGCCCAGACTTGGCATGGAATCTGGTAGAAGGCCCCAGGTTGTTTGGTGAGGCAGCTGGAGCTCTCTGGCTTGAGCTCAAGCCTTGGCAGCAGGAGGGCAGTGGGGATGGGGGCCTCTCAGCCTGGGACTCTGGGTGCACTGTCCCCTGTCCTTGACCCACCTGGGGCAGGGTGTGTCCTGCATCCTGCCTGGGAGGGCGGTGATCGCCTGGGGCCCTTCCCCATCTCCAGGAGGGCTTGGCCTGCCCTCTCCATCCCCACCCTGGAGGCCACAGTAGTAGCCTGGGCCTCCTTCCTGGGGGGGGGGGGCGGGGGTGCAGTACACAGGTTTCCAGAGCACCCTTGAGGGTTCACAGCACAATTCAGATGGTTTGGAGCACAATTGTGAAGCACACTCCCTCTCTCACCTGGGGCCCAACTTTCTTGCTAGCGGCAGCTTCTCTCCTGGAATGGAGGGTCCCTGGAGTTCAGGGGCTTGTACCCAGGAAACCTCGCCCCTGGGGAAAGATGGATAATTTCACTGCCCCTGTTGGGCTGCCACTCACTCTCCTTGTGCAAGCACAGTCAGCATGGCGTGTACATCGTGTGCAAATACCTCGGGAGCCTTCCCCAAGATGCCCAGCCCTGTGGAGGGGAGGCCGTGGGCAGTGCTGTGGACGCAGGAGCCTGCCGAGACGAAGGGCCGGGTCTCTGTCCTGGGGCCCAGTGCCCCCAGCCTCCCACCCACCCTGACCTGAGGCCTCCCCTGGAAGCGGGCTGCTGTCAGAGTACAGGCCGGGAGGATCCGAACCTGGCTGGACACAGTGCCTGCAAAGGGATGGATGGACTGGTGGCAGGATGGTTGCATGGGTGCGCGGGTGCGGATGAATGGAAGGCGGGCAGGCAGGCGGGACCCCAGGACTCCATCTCTGAGGGCTGCCGTGGGGAGAGCAGCGGCAGGTCACAGCGCTAGGTCTGGGCATCTTCAACTGAAGGCCGTGCGTTCGTCTCGTGTTCTCAGCAAGGGGAGGGACAGACTAGGTCCAGAGTTCCCTCCCTCATCCCTCAGCCGCTCAGTTCCCCCCTCTTGCCTGAAGGGGGTCCATCCTCCCACCCTGCCATTTCCTTTACTCACCCCTCCCCCATCTGCTCCCGTTTCCAGCCCTCTGGCCACACCTGTCCTTTCTGAGCATGATGCGGGGGAGGAGACCCACGTCTCCCTAAAGACATGAGCCTTCGGGGCACCACATCCCACCTTAGCCACCCTCACCTCACACCTCCTACCTGGCCCCCATGCCTAATCCCAGCAGATTTAGCAACAGGAGAAGCAAGGCCCCAGGAGAGACACTCTACTATATATACTCTCTACATATTCTATTTCTATTGTATATTCAATCTGTACATGTGGGTGTAAATGCTGTTAACTGACAAACCCAATATTATACTGTGGCTGGTGGACTATTTTCATCCTCAGTGCTGTACAGATCTATTTTCATTGTATATTTGATATATTTTTAATTTTGTAGCGTGTGGCTGGGCCAGGCCCCAGCCTGCCAGCCTGCAGTAGGGCGGCTGAGCTGGGATGTCTGCTGGTTCCTAGGGGCTGGGTAGTCCTTGTAGCCTTTCTCCGTAGGCCAGGCCCTGTCCCGGCTGTGTCTCTGCTGCGTTAGACACGGGGCCTGGAGCTTGGTGTATGCGTGTGTGCGCGTGTATGTGTGTGGCGTGTGCACATCCGTGGGCGTGGGTGTGTGTAGGGTGATTTGTGATTCCCAGTGTTCACCGCTTTCCTGAAGACCACACCGCCCTCCCCCGGCCTCCTTCTCCTCCCGGCTGTGAGGCAAGGCCTCGGGGCAGGGTGCTGTGGGGAAAGGCAGGTGTTTCTTGCCGGTGACTCACTGCCTGCACACCACTGGGCTTGCGGGGGAAACAGGGAAGGAGGGGCATTGCGGGGGGGTGGGGGGGAAGCCCCTAAATTTATTTTCTAGCCAACCTCTCGCTGTTTCCACTGGACTCACAAGCTCTTCATCCTGAGGAAGAGCGCTGGGTTTCTTAAGATGGTGAGACCCCAGGAGAGCATCTCACAGCATCTCCGTCCCCTTTGTCCTTGAGACAGTTCTGAAAGGAACAGCTTTCCCCTGCGCTGCTGACACACACTCCTGTCCTCACGCCTCAGGGGAGCCGGGAGTGGGGGGAGGCCTGGGGCCAAGGACGGGGGCATCTGACCAGGTACCATCCAGCCCCAGATCCCCCGGAGAAGCGGGGGTGGCCGGAGAGGGGTGAGCCCCCACATCCTTATACGGGCTCCCCATCCCTTCCTTACTGGATTTGGTGCTGTCCACGCAGTGCCCACAGGGGACGGTGGACTCGGGGCGGGGCATGTCCGAATGAGTCCCCTGGTCCCTGCTCCTGCCTGTCCAGGCCCCGTCACCAGCTTCTTGCTCAGATGCCCTCTGTCCACTGAGCCAACATGAAGCCCGAGATCCAGCTGGGGATGGATGGGGAGGGCACACTGGTTGATTGACACCAGCGCGGTTGGCTTTGCCCTCCAGCAGGACATCCGAGGGGACATCCAGCTCCTAGTGCCAGGAGAAGCCCTTGTGGGTCTCCGGCCACAGGCTGCGGCTGGGGCTGGAAGCTGTGTTGTGCTGGGCCCCAAGCAAGCCTGCAGTATTATGGGCGGGGGCCCCCTTCTGGCCCTCCTCACAGCGGCACCCCCAGAGTACTCCCGTGGCGGAAAAGAGTGGAGACCACAGGCTGGAACGCACCTGACTCTCTGAGCATCCATGAGGCCTTGAAACTGGGGGCCTGCTGCCCCCCCCTCACCGGAAGCCTAATGACTGGGGTTGGGAGAAGGAGGGCCCAGGGTCCGTCCTCACCCTGAGCGCTGCTTTGTACAGTCCCAAGCACACATGGCAGGCATCGCTTTTGGTTCTGGTGCAAGTTCAGAACAATTCAAGTCCATGTGCCCTGTGACGGGCCAGAGCCCTGGGTCCAGACCACGCAGCCCAGGGGAGGGGATGAGGCATCATCACCCCCCAGATCCCCTCCTTTCCTCTCCTCCACCCCCCTCATGGTGTGCAATAAAGTGTCTGTTCTTACCAAACTTCTCTTGCCTTTCTGACCTGCTCCAGGCTCAGGGAGAAGGGATGGGGAAGCCAGAGATCTGAGCAGAGGCTCTGGGTGGGGAAGGGTGTGGGGACAAGCATGGACAGGATGGGGTAGAGAGGACTGCGGTGGGGTTGTGGGTGCTGGCTGGCTGAGGAGTTCCGGGAGGATGAGGAGGGATGCAATAAGAAAAAATTTGTATTTTCCTAAGAATTGTGCTGGGTGAACTGAACAACACACACACCTGTAGCAGGCCTTACTGGGGTCCAAGTACCTCTCACACAAAATCTCACGTGAGCAGCCTGGGAGGCAGGTGCTCTGTGCTCGGGTTTTCCTGGGTGGGGTGAGAATGAGGCTCCGTCTCACATGAGGACAGTGTTCAGTGTCATTTCCGCGGCCTTGCGGGGAGATCCTGCCTTAGTGCCAAGAGCAGCCGTACCTGTCCCTCTGCAAGGGTGGGGCTAGGGGCTTCAGGGGTCACGGGGAGCCAGCCACGCTCTAAGTTCTGATACTTTGCAGACCCCTGTGGCAGGGCAAGGGCCCCGGAGCGCACCCCCGACCGTCTGCAGTGCTGCTGCCTGACCTGCACAGCCCAGATCCCCCAAGCAACCCTCCATTTCTTCCATGGCCTTAGAAGAAAAAGGTGTCATTCCAGAAATAGCCACCAGATGGCAGGAAAACCTTTGTGCCCAAATCTTCCAGCCCTTACCTGCCTCTCCGACTCCGCACTCCTACCTTTGTGGGTTAGTCTGATGATTGAACAGACATTTCTTAAGCATCCACGGTGACAGGTCCTGTGCCAGCGATGGATACACAAAGCTAAGTAAACCCCTGTTGTCCTGAGTTTTCCGAAGGGAACCCCACCCCTCACCATCCCTAGACTCCAAATCCCCCCCCACCCCCACCTCTCAGTGGAGAAAGTCCCTGTGCTGGGAATGTCCCTCCTTGTAAATTCATTCAGTGCTTTGTTTAATTGAAGGCAGTGTTTTTGGTTGAAATGTCAACCCCCACCCCCACCCCGCCAGATGGCACACATAGACCCACTACGAAATGGTGGGTTTGAAAGAGCTATGGAGGGGATCCCTGGGTGGCTCAGCAGTTTGGCGCCTGCCTTTGTCCCCGGGCCCGATCCTGGGGTCCTGGGATTGAGTCCCACGTCAGGCTCACTGCATGGAGCCTGCTTCTCTCTCTATCTCTCTCTCATGAATAAATACAATCTTTTTAAAAAAATGAGATATGTAGTCAGACTTCCCAAGTTCAACTTCAAATGCCAGCGGGGGGGGGGGGGGGGTCCTGCCTTCCGGGAGACCTAGGGCGAGTTATTTAACCCCTCTGAGCTTCAAAGTCCCAGTCCATAAGGTAGATATAATGAATGAATTGTATGAAATAATGCATGTTGCTGTGTACCAAGTTACCCCAAATCTGATGGCTTACAATGATAGTTTTATTGTATCTCATGGTTTTCAGGGTGGGAAATTCAGGCAGGGGTTGTCTGAGTGACCCTCCTGGTGGTAACTGAGGTCGCTCAGTGGTGTCAAACTGCAGGGTCGCTGGTCTGGAGGGCCCAAGGCAGCCTCACTCACATTCCATCCAAATGTGGCTGACAACTCAGCTGGGATTAGCACCCGGCTTCTCCAGCATAGTTTATCTCTGAGTGGCCAGACCTCATAAGTGATGGTTCAGGGTGCCCTGAGAGGCCATTTCAAGAGACAAAAGTGGGAGCTGCCAATTTCTTAAGGTGAGGGCCTGGAAAGTGACACTTTGTCACTTCTGTCGTGTTCTATGATCACAGCCCCTGCCCAGAGTTAGTGGGAGGGCATACAGACCCCACTTGCTGAAGGGAAGGAGGCCAAAGAATCTGGGGAGGCCCATGTCACGGGCCTCTTGTAGGGTGCCAGGGATCTGCAATCCTTGGCATCTGGGTGGGACTTTCTCCCTGGGGGAATATCAACTTACAGACCCAAAACTGGGGCACAGAACAGGTTCATTCGGATGGGGTGGTGAGAGGCTGAGCTGGGGCTGTGGTTAGAGGGAGCAGACAGGGAGGCAGACACACAGAAAGACATGAGAACAGCTTCTTTTGCCTCCTGTTTGCCTGGGGCAGGTGGCATGCCTGTCTGAAACATGGCTTTGTCACCTTGGGCAAGTCACTAGCCTCTGGACCCCCACTGCAAGTCTGCAAATGGAGGATGACAATAAAATCTCTTCCCCTCAGAGACTGCTGTGAGGGCAAAACGAACTCCTGGAATCCCTCCTCGAATTCAACACAGAACTTGTTCCATGCTGAAATATAATGGGTGCTCATTAAATAGCTGCTTTCTTCCTGTTTGCAACTGGAGTAAGTCCAGGGGGCTTGTATCATTCTGGGGGCCCCATCACCCGTGCAATGAACCATTCTCGCTGAGCCATTCAGAAAAGACGGTTTCAGCCCAGACCCAAAGACACCAAGCGAGGAGAGGAAAGAAGGCGCCGTTTCCAGAGAAGGGCATGCCACCGATCCTGCACACTGCCCTGCTGCCCTCAGCAAACAGCCACAACCAGCCGCACAGCCTCAGCTGAGCCATGAGTGCTTAGGTCGGGCTCGGAGGATTCTACGCACCCCAGGGATGTGGTGGATTAAAAAAAGTGGCCCCAAATTCTTTAAAACTTCCAGCGGAGTCTGTGCTCCTCCTCTTGAATCTGGGTGAGGAAACGTCTCCTTTGACCAACAGAGTGCAGTGAAAGTGATGCTGTGCGGCTTCTGAGGCTGGCTCGGGACAGGTCGTGCCACCAGTGCCTGGCTCAACCGCCGAGCCACCCACAACCACTGTTGTCTCCCAACAGCCCTTCTGAACTGCCTGACCCCTACTATCCTAAGCAAAATGAAATGCTTGTTGTACTTACAGCACTAAATTTTGGAGTAATTTGCTTCAAAGTGATAGTAACTACAACAGGAACCCTAGTGATTATCTGCCCAACTTCCTCAAAGAACAAATGGAGAAACTGAGGCCCAGAGAGGGAAAGAGATCTACCCAGAATTTCCACAAGCAAACAGGGGGGAAAGCAGGGCCAAAGCCTGTCTTTCTTTCTTTCTTTCTTTCTTTCTTTCTTTCTTTCTTTCTTTCTTTCTTTCTTTCTTTCCTTTCTTTCTTCTTTCTTTCTTTCTTTCTTTCTCTTTATTTTCTTCTTTTCTTTTTTAAAGATTTTATTTACTTATTCATAAGAGACACAGAGAGAGAGGCAGACACACAGGCAGAGGGAGAAGCAGACTCCCTGTGAGGAGCCAGATGGGGGACTTGATCCCAGGACCCCAAGATCACAGCCTGAGCCAAAGGCAGATGCTCAACTGCTGAGCCATCCAGGTGCCCCCAAAACCTGGGTTTCTTGACTCCTGGTCTAGATAGTGCAAGTTCTAGCAGGGAGGGCTTCCACCCTCCCCCCCACCTCACCCTCCTCATTAATTCCACGCATCAAGCATGAACTGAGACTTCTGAGCCCCAGGATTGTGCTAAGCATGGGAAATAGACCAGCAAGGCTCCGGCAGGGGCCTCTGCCTTGTACAGGTCGTCAGTCACAACCCGACTCGGAGCGTCCTGCCTCCGTCACACCCACTGGTGCCAGGCACACAGATGCGTTCCTCAGTTACACTGTCTTAATGTGGGAGGAGACCTGGGAAATGGGGAGAAGACTATGTCTGTCGCTCAACAACAAACCGTTATTAAGATTACTCCATCCCAGCCACAGTGCCAGCTGCAGAGCACAAAGACTCAGTGGAGCTCACCCTGTGGCTCCCTGGCCGTCTCTGTTCTTCCCAGGGCTGGCCCAAGCAGGGAAGGATCCCTGG